TCTTTTCTCTTGCCAAGCGCTTGCTCATTCTCCAACATGTAAAATCAAGCATGTGCTAGAAAACTTCGAATGGGGTAGCATGATCCCCATCTCTGTAACCTGTCTGTAACTCATTTGTGATGCAATGAAAGTTTTAAATTTTCAAAAAAAAGAAAAAGAAAAGAACGTGATCTCCTGGCTCAGTTGCTTCACGTGAAGGTTGCTACCAGCCCAGCCCACAGCCTTCAATCGGACACTAGAGCCCACGTGCAGCGCACCTTTTTTTTATTTACCAGCAGAAAATCGATAAAAGTATTTAGTTCCACATTTAGTCACATAGAAGCAGTAACTTAGTGGTAAGGCATGTGGAGTTGCTTTTTGATTGCTTGGGTTCGTTTCCTATGTGGCTGCAAAAAAAAATTGTTCCTAAGCAACTTTTTTTTTCTCATCCGCATCATATATATGCAAAATATTTTTAGTTGAATTAAAAAAAATAGTTTTGCCATATGCACATCATATATATGCAAAATATTTTTAGTTTTGCCATATGCACCATATACATGCAACATAGTAATAAATTATTTGGTTTAGAATAACTTAACAAATCGGCTTTGGGTTTCATTCTTTTTACAATCACATTTTTAATTTTTTGCACTAAATATAAGATAGCGGGCTTATTGTTTTGGGCTAACTAGAGTATGACGAATTTAAAATCATAGACTGTGACAGTCCAGATAAAACCGTCACGAGCTAGCGGGCCGGGTATCCACTGGTGCACATCCATGACGGAAAAAAAATAACCGTCACAGATTGATCTCTAAATCTGTGATCTCTAAATCGAGAATCATGGGATTAACAGGTTTCTTGTAGTGAATACAACAATGCAACCATAAAACATCAGCACACACAGTTTGATTTCTGAATGAAACAAATTGCAATCTACAAGAATCAAGGGGAGAAAATATCTGAGATGACCAGGCTGTAATTTAAGTATGATAATTTAAGGATTATTATACTAGCCTGGTTGTAAATTTATGAGATAACAAGAAAATGAATTTTAGAAAGGTTGCTTGTCCATATATTCTTCATAATCTTGACCATTGGGCTCTTTGTTTTCTTCACCGGACTAGTTGCACAAGTACCAGTACTACCAGATCTCTTCCTGGTATCAACACTCATAGCTTCTGCTGTACAGTTTGCCATTGTAAGTAAGCTTTCAAATGCTACTCCACAGCCCTGTACACATCTATGAATGTTTGTTGATGTGAGAATCAGAGGGCATAGGAAGGGCAGTCACGATTAGTATTTTCTTTAATTGTGGCTACAGTTCTTAGTTTTAGTTCTTTCTTGCATGTATGTTTGTCCAGCACCTAATTATGTAGCCTTGTTTGGATTGGCAATCCATGAATAAAACTAGTAGTTTTGCTGGCCACCAATTTCTGGGCAGTGCTCAAGCAATACTGGAAAACAGAGCACACGTATATTACCTGTAAACTCAACCATTTTTTAATCTGCTAGTATGTAAACTGTGACACTGCACAAATCAGTACAGCTGACAAATGGCTGTACCATTGTGATACTATCCAGTTTGTCTTCTGCTGATAGTAATTTTAGTCTGCTGTAACTATCCAGTTTATTCTTTACCGTGAGAAGAGAACGACTGCTGCAGTACATGATTGTATTACTGTCCTATATTTTGTGGTACTAGCGTTTGTAATTTTCATGTAGTATCTATATGCCTTTTCCCTTGAATGAATTAGATTATTACCTTTCTATTAATCTGATGCGTTCAGTAGCTTGCTGCTAATTATTGTGTTCAAATTTTTTTGGGACATGCAGTTCAGATTTGTACTCTATGTAGCAAAGTGGAGCAGAGTTTGCTGGATTTGGATGCTGTAGTGGGCAAAGGGCCATTTCTGCTGCTGCTGCTAGCAAACTTTGACGCTGGAGTGGCCAAAGTGTCATGGTGGCTGCTGGGTATTGTGATGCGCTTTTGGACAGATTTAATTATGTTGTTGAGATGAGATGTGAAGGTTGTAATGTGTGATGGACAAACATCCTACATGGATTGAGTTCTTATGTAACCTCATCTTATGTGATGTTATATAAACCTGAGATCATATGTGCTGTTGGATTGAGTTCTTATGTAATTGAAAATGAGCTGTTTGTCTCTATGGGTTGCATGTTTGTTGTATGTGCTATAATAATGGGCTGTATGTTGTATGTGCTATAATAATTGGCTGAAAATATATTGCAAATGGGCTGAAAACAGATTGAAAATGGACAGAAAACAGATTGAAAATGGGCTGAAAACAGGCTACAAATGGGCCATCTTCGATGTTGGGCTGTTAATAAATGGGCTGGGATGCCCACGTCATCATCCACGTAAGCATCCATGATGATATGGCAATTCATCCATGACGGTTATTTTTCGTCACAAGAAATGGGCTTAGACTGGGCTAATTAGGCCTTGGGCTCTACCGTGACAGTTTAAGACCATCACCGATTCCGTTAATCTGTGATGGTTTTCGAAAAACCGTCATGGAGGTCAATCCATGACGATATCTGAAACCATCACAGATGCTGTATAGTGATGGCTTTTTGGTGATCCGTGATGGAAATTTTTCATCGTGGATTAACAGGTTTCTTATAGTGATTGGATGGGTGCCTAATTTACGTCGTTGCTTGTTAACAATGGTGATAAATGCTTCTAGCAAAATGAATATGTTATCTTTCATTTTTCAGTGATATGCATGTTTATCCCTAGCCATTAACATCAAAGAGTCACATATGTTTACCTCATATGAACAACCGCTAGGATACAGAATGGCAATCATTGTTCATATGTGACTCTTTGATGTTAATGGCTAGGGATAATAGAAAATAGAATCACCAATCAAATTGAAAACCTCTGAAATTTCAAATCTTCGTACCTTGGTAAATGCTGATGCTTGGTATGACCTATTTTTGGAAATATTTGATGATGGTTAAACTTGTGAAACTGTTTTTTTTTTTTTGCGGGTAAAGAGAGATTTTCATTAACTGGGCATAAAAGGGTCTGTGGTAATACTCAATGATCTTTCTTGTGCTAACGCATATCTAGCACTTGAAAGTTGTTAATCAGCAAATGCATCTATTTTCAAGATATCGTGGCACCCTTTTTCCTAATCTATGCATTTCCTCAATTCTAGAATCATACATGTCTTGCTTTTCTTCCAATCAGTGTCTCAGCATTTAGAATTGGAATCATGAATACTTTACAGGCTCTCAAGAAAAATGTGAAACCATGCCTTGTGGATCTCCGTGAGGACACATGTGGACTCGATATGCTGATATTTACTTTCCTTGTTGTACTAAGCAAAGCTAGTTCATTGGTTTAAATGTAGCCAGTGGTTCGATAGCTTAGTAATTTGTTTAATCTTGTTCTGAGGTACCTTGTAGAATGCTACGTACTTTTCAGTTGTCTTGCTATAATGTATTATGGTCTATCCATGTCAGCGCCACCTGTTTTAATCCTTGTTTCCTGCTCTAAAGCCCCAACAAACCTTGTATAACCCAACCCCTGCAAACCCTGTGTAACCGAATAGATAAAACATGTGGATTCCCAAAAAAAAAAAAATAGATAAAACAGGTGAGGGGTTTGAATGGTAAGAGGTTTTGAACTCAACAGGGATCAAAGTGTGAGACAGGGTAACCCTGCGGGGATTGGATCTCTGTGGGGAACAAAACCTTAACAACCGAATTAAGGCCTAAACTGGAGGTTTTTGGTTTTGGGACGAGGCGTGTGGCCAGGTACCGTGTCGTTTTGTTCTTGGGATAAGCTCACAAGCATAGGGACAAAACAATGGACTAGACTATGGGTATCATCAGCCCAGAAGGATCTCGTCCATAGCCCAATGTGGAATGGAGTGGATTAGAGTGTAGCTAAACAAGATCTGAGTAGGGAATTAACAAAACAAGGCCTGGTGCAAAAAGCAAGAGATGAATTTCATCGCCACCCCTGGACCGTCTGGAAGCAGAGAAATGTTTACATCTTCGGATCAGGCATTCGTTTCAAAGTTGGAAAAATGATTTCTCCGAGGAAGCTTCCTGTAGTGACATATAGATTCAGTATTGTGTTAAAACAGTTTTTGTCTACTTTGTTCAGCTCCTTTGTCTAGCTTCAGGCCTGTTTGAACTTCTTGCGGCCCGGCTCCTCCTACACCAACTTCAAGGCCTGTAGCAGTTCATAGAATCATTTTCTCTCTCCTCACAAAATGAATGTATAGAAACTATTTCTCTCTCTCCTCGTAAAATAAACGTGGAGACCAAACCATGCTTTGTGACAGGACCTCAGTCTGAGCTCTTTTTCCCTTATTCTTTTTTTTCTCTCTCTCTTCTTGGTCTTTGGGGCCCTTATGCTGCTTCCTTCACTATCCATTTTTCTTATTTATATAATAATTCTACACAGTAGGAGTTTAAAAAAGAATCATATATATTCCATACACGCTTGGATAATAATAAATCAGGTATGGATGAAGCCAACAGAACAGAAGACTGCGCAGACATTAATATTGGCGAGGCTGGTAACAGAAGCCACCACCAACCCACACGGCCACACGATAAAGGCTTAGCGGCCTAGCCACTGTTGCCGTATGAGCTTCTGATGTCACCTCCCCAACAGGCTACACAGCAACACCCTAGGCCAGCAGGCCTCAAGGAAACGGACAAATGGTCGTGTAGCAGCCGATTCAAAACTCATCACAACATAAGAGCATCTCCAGCAGCTTGTCCAAATCTCACCATCCATATGTTCATTTGGCAATACAATCTAAAAGATTCCTCTAAAATATTTACTCGGCACTGCAGCAGAATAGCCAAAATCTCACTATCCAATTGTATATAACGACATGAAAATGAAAAAGAACGACCATTCAAAACTATAACTCGGATGGGCATTGATGAAACAACATACCTGACCAATGGCTACATCTAAGCTTTTCTCCTGCCAAGCACCCCAATAGATGAACGAACGAGGAACTTCATGATTCTTGGCTGGGAGGCAATCCTGATTTGTTGCTCAACCGGAGCTCCAGCTTTATGTTCATGGCAGCCAGCTCAGCAGCCAGGTACCTGAACACATACGGCATCGCCACGGTCTCCATCCCCTTGCTTGTTTTGCAGGCCTGGCATGCAAAATTCTTTGGCGGTCTCACAGTGGGGAGCCCAAGCATCTCGTGCTTGGCTTTCTTCTGGGTATCGGATTTGATCATTGTTGCAGTCAGCAGGCTCCCACAGAAGGAGCACACATCCGCGATGTGGTAGTCTGAGCAGGAGTGGAGCCGGTCATGCAAGAGGTAGGAAGACCCATGGGCGAGGAGGGCATCACGCTCCATCTCTCCGAATCGGATCCCTCCACCATGCTTCCTTCCTCCTATGGGTTGTCTTGTTATCTGATCTATACGACCAGTAGTGCGGACCTGGATACATAAGTAGCGTCAGTATTCAGTGAGAATCCCAAATTCCAAATAGTAATGCTTGGTATAAAGAGAGCGAAATTACACTTTCCATTTCACTTGTCAGGTACAGTTATTGGGCTTGTTTTTTCCATGGTCAGTCTAATAAATAGATGGGGGCAAACTATTAAGTACTTGTCAGGTACAGTTATTGGGCTTTTTTTCCATGGTCAGTCTAATAAATAGATGGGGGCAAACTATTAACTATTAACCATCCACAGTTCTACAATCCAGTATCCAGCACAAAAAAACTAGCTAAAGTACTTTGGAGAAAACTCATAGCCTCATTCCTTTTTAAACAAATTAAAAAGGGCTAACTGGATGGATATAGGGTGCATGAAAATGTCAAGTAGGACCTGTTTATATAGGACAAAAAACAATCACCTGGAATTTGTCTGAGACCATATGACGAAGACGCTGGTAATAAACAGGTCCGATGAAAATCTCACAGTCCATCTCAGTGCCAAAAACTCCACTATAAAGGACCTCTTTTCCATGATAATTAAACCCATAAGATGCAAGCATGGGACCAAATTCGTCCACAATCGAATTAGGCGTGCGGGGATCCTTGTCCTTTTTTAGTGAGTTTGCAAAAGGTGTTGCATCAATGAACTTTCCATGTAGACTTCCAGCCTGTGAGGACAAAAACCAATATATCTTTAGACAGAACGACAGTGTGCTATAGTAGACATAAAACAATTTAGTCATAAGCATAGACCTTTTAGGAGGACAACTTGTCTAGAAAGCATGCCAATGTCCTCCAAAGGTGAAAAGGGACAGTTTTCAAAGTGAATAAAGTGAAACCATCGACCACTAGAAAATAAATAATACTGTCCTAAATTTGTGCTATTTAGATTTTTAGGAGCACATAAGTGATAAGCCTGAAAGAAATATTTTTTTCAAGAAACTATAAGATCAAAGAAAAAGCTTTCCAGCTAGAATAGAATAATGTTCAAATCAGCCAGTCTTAAGATGCCAACAGCTCCAGAAATGTCAACATGCCAACAAATTTGCCTTAATGAAAAGGGAAAAAGAATGATTACAGTGTTAAATTTCATTAGTATCAAATTAACTTCATTTCAGCTGTTCTCTGAAACAGATTACGGTGTTAAAGAATGATTATGGCTTATCAGAATTCAGAACCTGTGAGAGAAGTAAACATTTGTACCTTCGCTGCCATAGACTCTAAAAGCATTGCTATAGTCATTCTTGAAGGAAATGCATGAGGATTAATGATCAGATCAGGTCTCATGCCAGTATTTGCAGAGAATGGCATGTCAATGTCAGGCCACAACTGAGAGCAAACACCCTTCTGCCCATGTCGGCTGCTGAACTTGTCACCGATTATAGGGTTTCTCACACGACGCAGACGAATGTTCGCCTGCAAAAAGATCAAGTAGTGAAACACATGACAAGATCACAAAAACAAATTCGTAACAGTTGGAATCAGAAATACTTGCATTTCTAAAACTCACTGCACAAAATGCTATTTGACTTCAAGACATAAAATGCAAGGATGTTATGTGATTTTAAGAAATATAGAGGATCTGCAACACCTGTGTGATTGCTCTGATAATTTTCAGCCAATTGAAATTCTACTGAAGGTTACTTGAATGTTGGCTTACCTTCTGCAGGCCACGTTTTGAACCTGCCCCATTAACAGCAACATAGTCAATAAATGCTGGCTCTGTGCCCTTTAGTCTGACAGGCCTTATCACGCCTGTGAGGCTATTATGGACACTATAGTACTGCTCGTTTGGATGTACAGCCTGTCCATGAAAATACATGTTATAGGAATTCAATAGCTGTTCTTGAACAAGAAAATAACTTTTAATATAAAACGAACACATAGCTACCTGTCCAAGTCGAGGAAGGCCATCTGAATCAATCGCAGTCCTTGTATCCCTGGATAATACACTCTTTGCAAAGGTTTCTGGAATATTATCTCTGCTTTTTGTTGATAAGTCAATGCATTCAGTCTGCAGAAAGTGTTCACAAGAAAAGGATTATTTTAAATGCTTTGAAAACTGAAGGGCTGAGAAATATTTGTTCCAGAGCATCTTTCTAATGCGCATCTCGAAGGAATTCTATACCAAATAATCCAATTCCAATACTGTATATAGAGTAATTAAATAGAGTACACCGACATTTTCATGCAAACAGTTTTTTTAAGAAAAAAGAATAAAATAGGGCACCATATGCTCTCGTTTTGATGTGAACAGATCTTTTGACATTCAAACTACAATATAATACAACAGACACGATGCCCTCAAATTCGAAAAACAAAGGTATTTGTATAATTATATACCATCTTATGCTCACAGAAAATACTCCCTCCTACCACAAGCAATGTATGCATGGGCACCGTGAGTATCTATCTATTCCACAATGAGGATTGCTCTCCCGTCTTCAAGAGAATGTTAAGCTAAAGAGTAGCTTTTGATGGGCAAAAAACAATGCACATAGAGCAACTAAGGTAGGTTTTGCGTGCTTCAAGGGGTGGACACCAAATTGTGTGTTGATTATGCTTTTCTTCATCGAGTTTGGTTTCCTTGGTCTGTGCACAATGGTGGGCATGGACATATTGTGAAACCGAAGGAGTACTGAGATTTACATTAATACATTTACGATTTTGAACTCATTTACACAAATCATGACGAAAAGCAATAATATTCAAGACTAAGTAAATTTTTCAGCTAGTCAAACCAAAACGACAATTCAGCCAACATCACTGATATCATGAAAGAAAATTTTGAAAAAATAAAATAAAATAGCTGCGTGCAAATTCTAAGGCAGTAAGGCACTAAGGCATGCCTTGGATTGCACCCATGACACCATTGGATTTGAACGAAATAGTTCTTAACCTATGTGCATGTAGATTACATATCAGATCACAAATAGTTATAATATATAATTAAAGAAACATAACTTGCCTGGTAAATATGTCCACGGAACATTCCACGATCAACAGCCGATTTATTCAAAATCATGGCATCCTCCATGTCATAACTATGTCACAGGTGTGATTTTCATCATATCAAGCATTTTTTTTTTAAAAAAGGGTTCGTATTATATTGAAAGGCTTACCCTGTGTATGATAGCACTGCAACAATAGCATTCGTTCCAGATGGAAATTCATCCATATAATATTTTTTATATGTACCTGTCCGAACAATTGGTGTCTGAGGGGTCTACAGAGAGCATCAAAGGCAGTAGAGAAGGTTAGCAGTACTTTCCAGCAATCAGTGTTATGACTTTTTTGGAGATTAAACCATATTTTGTTATTTTCAGAAAATACAAAACTAGCTAGATGGCCAAATTTGTCCTGTTTACATAGTACGATGGTCAATGATATCAAGTTTTCAAGTTGGATTGCCAAAATCAGACTCCAGCGATAGTTCCACGGTCAAAAAATAGGCTTACTCCCAAAAAGGTACAGGTCAGATTTTGTTTCCGAATTCAGACAACGAGTTTGATGTGGTACACCCAAGTTATGGTTTAACCTGAAGTGCTAGTCAAAAATAAATCCTATCAACGTGGACATGGTTTGATGTCACATTTCCTTAAAACTATTGCATAATTATGCAAAAAAACACAGATTTATCAATTCTGGCAGATTAATTAGATATAGCTGGCCTCAACACATTGCAAAGTATTCTCCCTACACTGGAATTCTAATCAGGCAGAGATTACCAACAACTAGTGATAACTTAGAACTATCTGGTAACCCTGGCTACAATACCACTACCAAAAATATAAGCGTGTGTTCAAGTGTTTCAAATTGTTACTTCCTCGAGAAACATGCAGGTCTATATGCTATCAGGAAAACAATCTACATGTCCCAATAAAACAATTTTAAACAACCAAACAGTATAGCTTTTCTGTTCTACAAAAAACAAACCTGCAGATGGAATGCTTTTACATCAGTACGGAATTTTAGAGCTTGTCCGCAAAAACCCATGGTTTGCTTTGCCATCTGCGTACAAGGAGGATGACTAGTTAGTCCAAAAAGGAAAGCATGATCAACCAGTCACTATAAGGACAAGATCTGAGTACCAACCTGGCATTGGTACATGTTCCTAGGACTTTGGTTGTGATCAGACCAAGGTGTCAAATTGGCAACTACACTGAGAATAGCTGTAGGGTGGATCTCTTCATGAGTTGCAGGAAATTTTTTTTGTCTCCCACCATCCCCACCATCAGGACACCGTATCTCCATAAATGCCTAATTTGGAGTTCAAAATAAATTATTGTGCTATTGGTAAGAAGTTATAAGGAATAAGGAGTTGATAAAAAGCAACCTGTTCAAATGGTCCAATGAGCTCAATACTTTGCTTTCCATCAGATAGAATGGAAAGATTTCTGACAGGTCGAACAAATCTAGCTGGATTTGTAAAAAGGTACAGACCAGGAAAAGCTCCACTAAAACTAAGTGGGACATAACCAACTTCCAGATCTTCAGGAATCTAATAAAAAATTAAGCATGTTCCTGAGTTAGAACTCATGGCACAAATTTTCAAAAAATAAAAGTCAAAATAAACAAAAACATGATAACATAAGAGAACAGACCCCAGAGTGTGCCAGAAGTTTCAATGTACGAAGATAATTAACAGCTTTCTCAATAGTAGCAGAAGCAATAGTACCAAGAATGCACCCATCCAAATGGACATGGAGTACTTCTGGGGGACCAGTTCGCTCAATCTTTGGTAACACTGGGTTCATTCCAACACGAACCAACTCAGCAGAAAGCAACTTCTTCATTTCCCCAAAAATTTTAACCACCCCTTCTGAGTTGTAGAAGGATGAAATACCTGACACACCGAATATAACTGGAGCTAAGGAAATGATAGCTCACTATAAACTTTAGCTGTACTGTCCCCAAAAAAGACAAGCACACAAATATAAAAACATTTAGACAGAAGATTGCAGATGCAATACGCTGCCAAAGATGAAAGAGAGGCAAGAAATCAAGTATAAGAAAGGAGGCTGTGTTGTGTGTTCAGGGGGTGCTGTGCAGATTCAAATTCAAGAGAAATGACAAGATGAGAATATCTTACAGCATGTAGAAGTCATATGATTCAGTAAACCACAGGGCTCTCCATCAGGTGTATGAACTGGACACAGGAAACCCCATGATCTACAAGGACATTTTCAGCACAGGTACAATGGATGCAAGCAAACAACAGCAGAATGCCATTAAGAGGATAAACATACTCTGGGAGTAACTTTCTAACAGATGTTGTACGCATTTTAGCAAAAGCAGAGCCCCTATGAACAGAACGGAAGTGTGAGATATAACGATGAAAGTTGAGCCGTTCAGCATGAATGGTCATTCCATCTCTCTGCAAATTTAACAGCAAATCCATTATTAGTTCCAATATTCTGCAGAAACAATGTAACCACCAGCAAGATTAGATGCATATTGGCAACCATTATTGTAAACATTCAGCTTTACAAAAACAGGTACCATTACTTGTAGCACATGTCATGCTTCTCTAATCCCAAGAAAAAGAAGCAAATTCATCAATAAAGTTCAAGGGAATAGGGAAATGAAGCATTAAAACTAAGCAGTACTTCTATGAATAAAGCAGGCATTGTAAGAGATGCACCTGTGGAAGATCCAATCCTGATTGTGAATTCACTTTCCCAACCTTTATCATACTCTCGATAGCTCTACCAACAGATGTTGTATATTTAGTTAGAAATTTCCTTATCTCCAGTGCTACACAAATAACAGTATATTATTAGTTATTGAATGTAAAACATGTGATATACCATTCAAAAAAAAGTTAACACTGATGGAGTGCAACATGCACATCTCATCCAGAAGAACAGTGCAAAAGACTACAAACAGATAAAGAGTAAATAATTATGTGAATAAACTGATTATGTGAGCAAATAAATTGGAAAATTAAACAATCTAATTGAACCACAGTATACGAAATTTAATTGGTCCATAAGACTTTGACCAGCTCAAAAGCAATCATGTTACCTCATAATTTAGTGTTCAATTAGCTCAGATTATGGCAATATTCAACTGCCAGAATAACTAAAATATATAGAAAACTCAAGGCGACACCCTTTTTCAGCCCTCAGGTTCAAATACAGTATGTATCGCCACTCAACCCAAATGCTAGAAAATAAGGTTTATGCAAGAGGCGTCAGGTGACAACTGTTACGGTATAATAGTCAAGGGTATTAGTGTAATCTCCTAGTCTAGGGTTTCCCTCTGAAGTCTCTCATGTACTCTATATGTATAGTACCCATTGGCCAGAATAAAATTATCCAATTCAGTCATCATTAACCGTAACATAGTATCACAGCTCTAGGTTTTGTGATCCAGCCACCGCCCTCATCTCCACGCTGCGCTCCCCCCAAAAGGATCGCCTCTGCTCACAGGGCCAACCCTGTAGATCTACATTTTTTTAGCCTTCGTCACTTTCTTCGTCTAGCACATCATGCAGCAGCATCAATCCGTCATCCTTCCTCTTCTTCAGCAGCAGCAAATCATCCCGATGCAGATCTAAATCCAGCAACCATCGAGGGCCACCAATCACAGGGTGTCCTCATCTGCCATCGCGGCTTCATCTTCCGGCTCCATCGTCAAGCCTTCAAGTGGCCAGGCCACCCGTCACGGATGCACCCTCTGCTTTCTCCCGTTGTGGCCGGGTCCATCCACACATTGCGGATCGTTTTGAACGTCCGTCAACAATCGATTCCACGTGTCGCGGCTTCATAGGTTCACGCGGATCAATCGATCTGTTCCTGTTTGTGTGCCTTCGACAATTCAGGATTGCAGCTGCTTAGTTGTCGCTAGATCACGAGTCTTCCACCCGTCGATCTCATGCGGATTCGCCCGTCCGAGACCACAAGTTCTTCTGCAGGCGCTCATGGGGCATCATGGACTCAATCTGCAGACATCGTATGTCTTCCACATCACCTCCTTGCAGCTGGTATCACCTATTTGCTTTGCTGCTGTAATGTTGAGGCCTATTCCCTATTTGCTTTGGCATCATGGACTCGATCAGTTGCATTAGTGTCAATCCAAGTCCATCTATCTAAAGTTGGTCAAAACCATGTGTCCACAAATTCATTGTCTGTCAGCCAATTTCATTATGCTTTATGGTTTATCTGAGTCACGTCAATTTAGCTAATCATCGTTGATGTGACTATGCCCTCTTGGTCCTTTTCGTAGCCGTTTTGCAACATATCGTGGTCAATGGCAGTTTATTTGTCGTCATCACCGTACTGTCCTACTGCTTGCAGTCATGCAGCAGCGATCTGTATATTCTTTCTTTGGCTTGATTTGACACATCTCCCTATTCTCGTCGGGTTCAAAGTCACCAAAGCAAAGGTTCATATTTGAAGAGCTGAACTATTGTTTGTGAAGATTTGAGGTATTTGCTGAAGTACGGGTTGTGAAGGCAGTACCCTCTTGTGGATAAGGTCATTTTGTACATGGGCATTGTTCAAGAGTTGCACACTCCAACGACGTCTTCGATTTTGGATTTTGGATGTACTAGTTCTACTTCTTTTTCAAGTCTAGTGCATAGTATCAACCGTCAGCTCTCCAAATGCAACGACATTGCATTCACGTTGCATTTGAGATAGGGTGTTAAGGTCTCTAAGGTATAATAATCAAGGGTATTAGTGTAATCTCCTAGTCTAGGGTTTCCCTCTCGTGTTCTCATATACTAGTCCCCATTGGGCCTCAATACAATTATCCAATTCAGTCCTCATTTTGTAAGAAAAACATCTCCAGATTGTTGAGTCATCTAGCTGGGATTTAAACTACAGTCCAAGGCTCATGAGGAAAGTAGTCGAGTTGAGACCTTCGAAATAAAAAGTTGTACCAACATGCTCACTTATCCACTTCTCAAATCACCAACCTACAGAAAATAATATTTTCAACACCGTTCATTTCTTTAAATGTAAGGCAGCTGCCATATAGTTGCTTCCAGCTTATACCCCAATATCTGCATTCATTCCCAGTGGATTCTTCTTATCCCTTTCCATTGAACGAAACAAGCTAGACTAAAGAACAAATTCTCTTATATGTGAAAATCTCACGACAATATTTCATGTTTTCCACAGAAAGGATAAAGAATGAGATAGGGTTTAAATTCTCGTATCACCAAGTGGTCATGTAAAGTTGTAAACAAGGGTCATTTTTGCATCCTCGCATAATATTGCATTGAACTCTCCTTTTTCCGAGGACCCAAAGCCAAATATAGGGCTTACCATTTATTTATATTATTCATCTTCACGTCACCACACAGTCCTTACAACAAATATTATGCAGCTGAATCTAGAACCACAAAACTAATGGAGATACAGCTACAAACACTATTATCAGTAGTTGTGGTTCACTCCTGACCCCACCCCACGCGTCTTCACAAAATATAAGGTGTGGCTTGACTTGGTACAGTCTCCAACACTTAACTTTTACAATTATTATCCCTTGTATTACAGAATTCGCAATCCTAAGATCAATACGATATGAAAGTGCTGAATCCAGTTATACTAAAATTGTGTCATATGTGCAAATTCTTAGGTTAAATGATGATCAAAGATTTTGAAAGTCAAATCGCTAAAAGTATGTGTGCCTTATAAAAAGAAGAAATGGGCGCAGAATTATCATCGTCATTCTAATGCAGAGAAACCACTCCTGAATTCAACTGTTTTGCCTTAAGAACACAGTGCCAGTGTACAAAAGCTAAAGTTTTTGGCATAAAAACATTAATAGAATAACTCACCATTACCGAGGTCAAAACCTTTGTTCTTTGCAGCCTCTTCAATGATTAAACGCTTAGACTTTCTTAGCCAATCCTGAAGCCTATCCTGCAGATATCATCAACAAATATAAATGATTAAAAAAGCAACATTAGAGGTTAAGAATCGAGTTTTGCACTTAAAGAATCACAGCTCAAGTATAAAACAATGAAACAACGGCAAACATCAAATAAACAGGGGGAAAGTCTGACAGTGAGGCAAAAGTGCCACTTAAGTATACATCATTCAGCTTCATGTGTCCCTTCTCCAATCTTCATTTTCAACCACCTTAACCACTTTTTTTTTACACAAATTGTCTTATTACAAATCTTAGGTAATGTAATAAGAGGATAAAATATAAAGGAGACAACAAGGTGTACGAGACCGGAAACATGAAAGGAATCACTTCAGTTGGTGAAGGTTCTACACCTTCACTGAGAGGCAGCTGGCTCGAGATGGCAAGGTATGTGGTAAAGCTGAGCACAAAATGCTGAACCTTTGGTCATCCTTGGCGCCTAAAACTAACGAGGGGTAATTGCTGCAGGCAGTTTAATGTTTCCTACCAATTATTCACTGGAACTTGGGAAAAAAGATGGGGACCAAAAAGATGGTGACATGGTCATTAAAGCTGTATTACTTTACAGTGCAAGGAACTTTTATGTTGGGGGGGTTCAGCTTTGCTGAGATTTTAAAAAAAAAATCCCATGAAAGGCACCAAAGAGTTGAGCAACCTTCAGAAAAACTGTGATTAAGTGGCCAGGCAATAGAGCCTCCTGGTATTGTAGTGCGTCAGCATTGTCAGGTGAAGCAGTTTGATCTACCAGAGCATAAAGTTTCTGCAACATAAATCTAAACCAGAAAATGAAATAAGAAACACATGATGAGAGGTTAAGAGGGGAAAATGTTCACAAAAGATAATGTCATAAAATGGAAACTCACATCAATAGATTAAATTTATCATGGTTGTTTTCCAAGTGCACAAAAATATAGTCCTTTAGAACCGCTTCAGCAACCTAAACAATGTAGAACAGCCAAAGTGAAGCATGGTCCAAATTTCAGTAGTACGTCAATATAAACACAGAGGAAACATTAAACACTACAGTTTCATAGTCATCTTTTTCAAATCCTTCCATCACAGATCGGAAGTATTGCCCTGCATTTGGAAGATCAAAATCAATGTCAGCGCATAACAGGTCTTCAAGGCATCTTAAGCACAAAAAAAAAAGCTCAGAACGTACCAATATGCACTAAACACTGTGTGCGAGTGAAAAGGGACAGATTTCTGACTTCATCAAGAACTATTTGTGCCCTTTCACCAATTAGTTCAGTACTGACAACTCCCTTTCCTCTTCCATGTTTATCACTGTAGCAGCAAGTCAAGCTTGTAAAGATTTCCCGGTCACTTGCATCAATAAGGGCCTGTCATTGGTAATTCATCATAGTGTAAATGCAATGCTGAAGCTACATTAACAATACTTCAATACTTTTAATCTAAACTAAAATATTGCAAAGATAGAAGCATAATGATTTGCATAATATGCGACATGTCAAACACAAGTCCACAAAGTGCATGATACCTACTTCAATGGAAAGACCCTGAGTCTAACAGAAGATGAGGATAGAGATAGAAACACACTAAATTACATAAATAATTTCTATTAAACAAGCAGATTGATAACCTTAGAGCACAGGACAAAACAAGTTTGTGGATTGTATATTTAGTTAAACAAAGGTCAACAGCTAAAAATGGATGCATTAACAGAGAACCCAAAGGTCTCTTTATTGATTATACAATGCACACCGAGGATACAACATTAGCAGGGTGCATCTGATGAAAAGGTAGCCAATGCTACAAGGCTTTTATAAAAAGAACTCGACCACAAGGGGGACGATGCCCCCTGGGCATTGCAAAAACTGTACCAGGATTCGAACATGAACCGGCAAGGGGAGACCCCCCAAGCACACTGCTCTAACCGGTATAACTCATGATAAGCTAGTATGCTACATAGCGTTTATCCATGCAGCACATGTCATTGCACACACAATGCTCAATAAATGTTTATGGACCATATTGCTGGTTTGAAATGTAAGCATTCTTAAGGAAATGGCAATCGATTATACCTTGAGAACAATCCCAACAGGAAGCAGAAACTCTCTGCCACCCAACCTATTCAACACACATTCAAAAGGTCAAATTGATCCAAAAGAGTTACTCGTTGTTCACTCACTGTTTACCAGCACAGAACTTACCAAAACCCAAGCCTTGCACTTCCATTTTGGAGGTAATACAACTTTATTGTCACACTGGACTGGTCACGTTGGACACATCTGTCAAAAGATTAAAAAAAAAGCAAGAGTGGCAAAACACACAACATTAGCTTTGATGTTAAAGTCATAACTAGTATTCAATGCTCAAAATAGAAATATTTGATGTTTTACAGAGGTTCTTAGCGATCAACAAGGCTGGGTATGCAATACTTGTAACTTTCATGAGATTGACAAACAGTTTAGTTTCAGGCTACAGGTACATTTAAAGGAACAGGAAAGCTCAGTCAAACAAGATTCTTTGAGAATAAGAAAATATAGAGGAAAAGGGCAATGACTCAGTCATAATAACAAGATATTGTCCAATGTTGTCTCCTCCTGTGCAGCACTTGTGTATGTGAGACACACTCGAAAAATAATAGACAAGAGAAGGATCTGGCATCACAATTATTCAAATCTGGTCACTGTGAAAATGTTTATTTAATTTTACCTAGTTTCATATACATTATCTTGTAATATTGCAGCACAGCTTGTCTTTTAGAAATACAAATAGTTTCTTTACTGTACCTGTCTTAACTAAAATATATTTCAAAATTAGCAAAAAAAGTTATTCTGGCTAATTATGTTTTGTTAGGTACACATTCAGCATTCACAAAACTTAAAAGGATTTGCAGACAATCGAATTGGACAGCAAACATAAGTAGGAACTATGTGAAAACATGAAGTGAACTTGGAGTCAAAATAGAGATAGCATCACTGCAACCGAATATTGCTTGAATGACAAATTAAGCTACGCCCAAGATTAAACTATATGATATTCAACTAATATGCCTCATCTGTTACTGTGCTACCTTATGACCACTGCTTTGTCAGTGTATCCAGCACCACGTTTAAGAAAAGAACTGCGTACCAATCCCATAGGCTGAAAACAAAAGGCAACTCGTCATCAGAATGATGCTATATATAGTTTAAAATACTGGCCTTGTGAGTTGTAAAATAATGCTCCAAGCAAAGCCAAATCTGTCTTACATAGTTACGCTTTTGTAAAATAAGAATACGCACAAGTCTCTCCATCCCGCCGCATATGAAGTACCTAAAAAGAATTTCAGAACTTTGTGAGAATTATTCCAGTAACATATGGAACATTGTCAACAAAGTGGCCACAAACTACAGTGGAAGTATGACAAGTCATGACAAAGACATTTTGAGAACACAAGGGAAAGTGGACAACATAAGGTCCACACTTTATTAGAATTCAAAATTTACATTTAGCAATACAGTAAGTTCAAAAAGAAAAGCCATACCACATTTGCACTGTTCACCCTTGGGTCAGCCCAAATAAAATGCTTTCAAAAACTATATTGTTTTTTACCAAAAAAGTTGGCAATCCATATCAAATATGGTATAGTTCAGACTTTCAGTTCAGTGTATTGCCTTTGGAAGAACGCGAAGACAGACAAGAACATGATAGATAATAAGATTTCATTACTTTGAACAGTCCAAAAGCAATTGAAGTATTTTTCCTAACTATACAAAGTAGTCCTTTTCCCCAGGGACAAGTTCAGAACTCAATGCAGCAAATCTGATCATAAATTCCGTCATCCACATATGCAAAAGAACAAGAAAAGAAGGAAGTGTGATCCTAATGAGAATCACAAAAGTATGATAGTCTCCTAATGAGAATCACTAAAGTATGATAGTCTCGAAAATAGCAAGTTAAGAAGACATACAGTGGAAGAGTTACTGATAATTGTTGTGCACTATTTCCCATACAAAGTACTCAAACAATATTAGCACATTAAGAAATGACAGCACTAAGGTCAACTGAATGCAAATGAAACATACTCACCCACCCATTTCGGTTGCCTCTTCACCATGGAAAACTAATTTATGGGGATCAGCACCTCTCAGATGACACAGTTTTGACTGGAATTGCAATAGCATAAAGTCAGGGAGAATAATCAATTGTTATATGCGAGGATGAACCAGAATAACTTGTGAACCATTACTAAATATAATGGCCTGGAGACCTAGAGTGGAGTGAGAAGAGAACTGCAAATTCAATGTAGCTTCCTATGGAACCGAGAAACCATCCTAAAAGAACAAGAAACAACAGAAGTCCCTACCCCCACCATCATCCACTCAATAAAGAAACTTTACTTATCAACCCACTTTTAAAAGTAGAGGTCTTTTTGTTGTTCCTTGCTTTGCGGAGTTGGAAACCATGCTATCATTCAATATTTCCATGGGAAAGACATTGATATATGCAACTGCCTTTCATGAGAATTCTGAGAATCCAAATATATCCAAACACTATTTATAATTGCCTTAACTGATTCAACTCCCCATACAAGCACCAGACCAGGAACAATGCATATTGATCTTATTTCAAACAAGGAGATTGAAGAGCCTTGTTGTTTTGCATTACAATATTGCAAAATGTTCATAGTCAAGTGGATAATTGAAACATAATTGTTTTTTTTTTTTTTGTTGAGAATACTTGATATAAAATGCTGCCAAGAACTACGCCCACTCGACACTTTACATTTTGACATTATGGAAGCAGATGTATATATCATATTGATGTCCATGCCACATTAACCCCCAGGCATTTGGACCATCAAAAACAAAATAATGCTGAAGCAAGCTCCTGCGCCTGTGAGCAGAATTGAAGTTAGGATGTGTCCAACTTATATGTAGTTTTGATATCCTTATAAATAAGGGGTGAAAATGATATGCTAAGATTTGACTCAAAAACCAATTCCATAATGCTATAATTTTACTAGGTTCTATAACAATACATTACAACCTAAAAAAACTGTCAAAGGTTAGTTTTGAAGACATCACAAAATGTTCAAAACGACACCCTTTTATGCCTAGATGGATCAAACATTAAGATGGCAGCAAAAGACAACCAAAGCGCTAAAATAAACTCACTTGTTAGCCTAGCCTCTACACCAGCAAACTCGACCAAAAGCATAGCATCACAAAATTATTTTAAGCAAAGTGTCTAAAAGAGTAAAAAAAGAAAGATAACTACCATCAACATAATAGGCAAATGGCCAAAATTGAAGGTATGCCTGATTTGTGCCCCTTCATTATACTGGAAGCAGACATCAACTTTAAATTCCCCGTGATATGTAATTCTTGCTTGCCTGCACTGCTCCAACCAAAAGAAAATGGGGAAGGATCAGACTAGCAAATACCTGTCTAAATTTTTCAAGAGACGACCAGTAAAAAGGTAACAAAAGAATATGTTTCCGGTAAAACAGAAAAATATAAGTTTCCAATGTCTAAGATAATTCTATAAAAAAACATGACAAACCTCCTGGGGGTAGAGGGGTAGTACACCCGACCGGGCATCCCTCATCGGCGAGAGCACATGACCCTTTTCCAAGATTAGTAAACATAATAGTTAAGAGGAACAAAAGAACAAAAACAAAAGGGAAAAAAGAATTTGTTTCATGTAAGTTTTGCCGTTATAACATTCCTTGCAAACTGTACTCAAGTGCTTCAATAGTTTTACACTGAGCCATTGAGACTAAGTTTAATTTATAAAACAATTACAATCCATTTTAATTTCACTTGCACATGAATCATTTCACGGTAAATTAGCAATAGGCATTAGCAACCAAATAAATAGGTAAAATTGCAATCCGATGTTGTGTCGTCCTATGTCTACTGACTAGTAATAGCAACTTAAATAGAGACACTGTTAGCTCTCAAACACTTGCAGCAATAGCCAAAAACATCAAACTGCACAGGATATCTGCACTGACGAACAACACAAAAAAAATTTGAAGCATGAAGGATATTTTTTAGTGTGTTGTTGGAGTTGGGGTCCCTGATCACCATGGGGCGGATGGATTCAATCATCTCGTCGAGCCCCTTATCGAGGAAGTAATCAAAGGATTCCACGTGCGGCCGGAATAGCTCCCGCAACGCCGAGTAGTCGCCTTCCTCGGCCACCGCCGGCGACGGCGACTTATTCGCCTTGCTCATGGCCGGAGAGATGGCTGAGATCCCGGAGAGGGCTCCTGTGCGGCAGCGGCGGCGCTTGTTTCCGGCGGGAAGGGTAAAACCCTAGAGAGGGGGAGGCGGCGGCGGCGGAGGGTTTAAGGCTGAGGAGGCTGCAGAGTGAGAAAGGAGCCTGCAGCCTGCTTATCTCTTAGGGGGCGTTTGTGACCTTGGCTCGACGGCCGGGCTGCGCCCTCCGCGTACAACTCCCTTTGCGAGCTAGGGCACCACCAGCGAGCCGGACTGTCGCAGTGCAATTTGCCTTCTCTTAGGGCTCCCAAGAAACGAGGTGGAGGTTCGTTTCCTGGTGGCACGGCTCGCTCGATGAGCCTGCTCGAGCGCTGCGCGCTTTTCACCGCATTCAATTTTACAAGCACAACAAACACGATCTCTTGACTATACTCTGAATCCACGATGACAAACACAAGCACTTGCACCATTTTGGACCGGACCGGATGGCGGCCATGCCACGTCGCCAGTATCTCTTACTATACGAATCCTTCACCAGAAACCGGGCTACCGGATCGTGCCACGTCGCCCGTTAGTCCCCTGGCCGTCCGATTCGACGAACTTGCGATGGCATCCGTCCGATTCTCGATTGGTTCGGGTCTCTCGCCCGTTACCCAAGCCGTCGCGAATGCTCGCGAACCCTACGCCCGCGAACACCGATCCGGCCGAGACACGAACCGCCGCCGCCCGTGCCTCCGGCCACTGCTCTCTCCACGACCGCCTCCTCCCCGCGCGGCGCTTCCTTGGCTTGCGGCGTATCAAGCCCCGGCGCGCAGCAGATCGCCCCTCTCCTAGCAGCCTCAGAGGCCGCCCCCCCCCCTCCTCCACTCCTCGCAGCCGCGGCGATTTCCTACTCGTTCGTCGCAGCCACGACTGCGAAGGCGAGCGGCCGAGCGCAGGCCCCACGGCTATGGGCGTTCGCGATGCGGATGCGGTGGAGGCCACAACACCATGCGGCCACGACGAGCACCCCCGCGGCGCACGGCGCAGTCGCACAGCCATCCTTGCCGCTTGCCGGTCCTCCCACGTCACCGTCGATCCGTCGTCCTCCGCGCCTCATGGAGCTGCGGGTGGTGCTGGGAGGCCGCGCGCCGGTAAGTTTTCTGGGCATAAGAACCTTTGATGCTTGGCTCACAGCGTGGGCCTGCTGGATTCAATCGGCATCGGTGCTCCTTACTAGCAGAATTTGTGATTCTTTTACATACCTCCGCATCGATGTTTGATGAAATGGGCAAAGGTATGTATTCTTTTGCTTATTGCTAGCTGATGATCCTTAGAAGACAAGAAGGCGCTGCTGCAGAATTTTTGATTAATTAGTTCTATTTTCCGCTGCAGCTTAGTAAGCAAAAGCTTCCCTCTTTGGTCGGATCCTCCAAATAATGCAATTCCCTTTGCATATATGATTTCAAATTCTCGGCTAAACATTAAGCTAATTACGTTGTCTTTACAATCTGAATACACATGGTTCTTTTCCTTATGTGCGATATTCAGTTTTTCCCCCAAAACTAGGCACGCAGTTATATATGAAAATACACAAGTTCGTGCACATCAATTGTCTTCCTCTAATCTTACCATGCAGCATTGCATGAATCAATCAAAACACTAAAGAGAGTGCGTGGAATAGGTTCCCAATGCTACTAATATGCTTACTAAAGTAAAGTATACTACGGACAAAGGCAATTGGTTTGTTATATGCAGTCCTGACTGTACTATTACCTTCAAAGTTATTTATTTCCTGATTTATAACGCTGTGTCTTCAGAACTATAACTGCCAAATTATATGAGTACAAATCTAATTTATAAGGTTGTTATGTTTGAATGTATGTCTTAAATTTTTGCATTTATTTCTCAAAATTCTATAGAGATCTAAATGTTGTACACAAATTCTAAGTAAATTACAAAAATTAACTGACATTGTCTGGAACATATGGGCTATATCTTCTGAAAGATACAGGTGCATATTTCAATCACACTATGTCTTTCGAGCTCAACCTATAATTACCCAAGGGTTATTTATGCAAGAATGGCATTGCAAGAAAAATGTATGCTGGTATACAAGAATAGATACATCTCTGTAGTGCCTTTCTCAACAATCTCCAGCACAAAAAAATGATAGAATGTAGTATTAGCTATATTTATTATGTAGTAAATGTTGATTGTAGGAAGATTAGGCAGTGTTGTCTAGGGTAGCATTTTTTTTTTACTTTTTCTCTGAAAGAAAATGGATTTATTCAACTCTGAAATTAGCTTTATCAATCTGGACATGTAACATCTTATCTTCCATTCATTTCTATAATCAATAAGTTAACTGTACATTGTAGACAATTATCTCTATAATGCACGGTTATTTCTATCTTACTATCCTCAAACAATATATGTTTTCTTTATTTTCCATTACTTCATCTCTCTGACTATGAGGTGTGCTACGCCTGCTGTGCAGAAAGCTTGGTGCCAAGGACGAGGAGAGGCACCGCTAGATATGGACTTCCTGTAGCCTGTGGCTGCTGCTCAAGGCTGACCAGGCCGGCGATGGCCTCGAGCGCCACCGAACGGAGCAAGTGTAGGAGCGATTCCAGGTGGAGCACTGATAGCAAGCATAGGAGAAAGCCGGCTTGATGGCCGATGGGCATAGAGAGTTGGCTTCATGAGCAGCTCCTCCGCCTCCTCTCACCATGTCGCTGCCGAGGTCGCATAGATACTGCATCATCCATTATTGTCCCCTCTCAAATTCCTCACAAATATGCTACATTAAGTAATATTCACTAGCTTTGATCCTAACATGAAAATGTGGATGCATGTTTCATCAATGCGATTCTCTCTAGAATCCAACAGAGAGTTGGAGGCAAGCACCCATGTGTTCTATTTGTATGCGCCCATGTTTTCTCTGTGATAAACCTTGCTTTTGATTTTGTGAACCCAGAATTGCATACTACCTTGTTGTTTTCTGAGCCCAGAATAACATACTTTGCCCCAGAATTGCATACTATCTTGTTGTTTTCTGAACCCAGAATAACATACTTTGCCTATCAGGTTCCTTGCAGAAAGACAGTTTTAGATCGTGTTGAGCTAATAATTGAAATACTCAAAGAAACTCGATTGGTCTCTATGTAGACTCACGCAAGGCAAGATGGCCCAGTACAGACGAGGGCGTGGCAATGCCACGCGTAATTCTGAAACGAGCTTTCCCTTTCCTTGATTGTTTAGACGCACATGTACCCCTGAATCTTCTATGTTATGATAATGTAATAAAACTTCACATTGTTGTACTGAAGATTTAAGTTATACAATTACTACTGCACTAAGAATTGCAGCAGCTGGAAGAGTATTGGTTCAAGATACAGCAGCACAATGGATGAATCATGAATGCAGATTTCCAAGGCCTCGAGTTTCCCTCTATCCCCGTATTGACACCATGACTATCCTCTGTAACATTTGTATATCCTGGGCTGGTCCTCCACTGAGGGCGCGGCAGTCTTTCTAGTGTTTTTGTTCGAATACTGGTCCACATACAACGGCAGTGTGTCAGAATCCCCGACCTAGCCCAAAGTTGGCGAAAATAATAAACTTTTGTTTTGCGAGAGGAAAATTGAGGCAACATCTGAGCCGTTCCTTGGAGATCCAAGGTCCGAAGGTGGTTAGCATGTTTAAAAGAATTTATACTTATAAAGGACGTACATAGTGCAGAGAGCTTCCGCTCTGTGCGGGGTCTGGGGAAGGGTGTTAGTGGCAAGCCTTATCCTCACTTGTACAATGCGAGGAGACCGCGAAACTCGAATCCGGGACCTTCCGATCACAGACGGTAAGACTCTACTGTTTGTACTAGGCCCGCCTTCTAAAAGAATTTATACTTATATTATATTAATTAATACATGTTTGATCCTATGGACTAAAGTTTAGTTACTAAATTAAACTTTACACCATTTTAGCTTTTGAGACTCCAAATAAAAAACCTAAAGTTTAGACAACTACATGAAAGTTTTAGACCACATAAATAAGTTAAAGTAGCTTTTTAGTTACATAGCTTTTACTAAGTATATCTAGACATACCTTATGTTTAGATACACAATAAAAACTATGTATCTAGACGGTCAAAGGCAAAATTTGGAAGAATCGGTCATTGGCGAAATTTGGAAGAAGCGATGGATGTAAGAACGCGTACGTGATTTAACTTACAGAGTATATGCTTATTTTTTTAAGAACCTCGTAGCAACGTGCTGGATATTCTTTTAGTACGAATAAAAAATAAATTTGTTGGCTCCTTGTCTCGTGCTCATGCACAATTGTAAGTACTTTTATTAATTTTTTAGTTACATAGCTTTTACTAAGTATATCTATGTGGCAAAACTGTCTAATCTAATGTCTCCCAGGAGTACTTGTCTTTCATTAGACACTAAGTACTCAAGGGAGGACATCAAATTATGCAGTTCCGTCGGGCACACCTTAGGGGAGGACCCAAAAATCCACATTTCTTTCCATCATGATCACAAATGAGAGAATAAAGCTTACATCATTATTAGTCATTTCTTATATCACTCTTAATACAACATCAAAGTATAATAGTTATTTTATAATAGCGGAATATGAACATGTTATCAGAATTACGAACAATTTAATTTAACAGCGGAATATAAACATGTGATCAGAATTACAACGGAAATAAATATATATTCATGACACGATGAATCCTTAATATAGAAGCTATGACAAGGGATCATAAAATTTCTATTTATAAAAGCATTTAGGCCTCGTTCGGCTTACTTTAAATTCGGCTTGTTCAGTTTCTTTTTTTAGCTGGAATAGTGTTTTTCTCTCAATACATTTCAGTCAGAACAGTGTTTTTCAGCCACTTTCAGCCAAGTTTCAGCAAGCCGAACGGGGCCTTAGTGAGAGTTATAAATAAAATTATGATCGCAGCGTAAAGGAATCCTCTCTGAGCTCACCAGGAGAGATCCACACACAAGAGTCAGCTCTAGCAT